CATCAACGGAGAGATCGGCAGCGAAGAAACGCTTCCGTGTGCTGCCACGTGTCAGCAGGGGAGTGGCTGGCGTGATGTAGGGGAAGGAGAACGACTCTGCCGCCCAAAACGGAAGCGGATCCTCCGCTGATGGAGTGGCATGATACAGAGGGAAGGGGGGGATGGGGAGGGTGGGGTGGGTGGGTGGAGGGGGGGTGAAAAAGGTGGGGGGTGTGGGGGTTTCGGAGGAAATCACGCCAAGGAGCTTTAATCCTAGGTAGGGTGTGGACTATGGGCCATGATAGGCAGATTCCATGAGCTTCACGCCTCCTCTTCATATCAAGGAACACTGGAAGTGTGTGATGGTGAAGGAACCGAGGGGATGGAAGGGAAATACTGGAAGATGAACACTGGAAGATGAACACTTGAAGATAAACACTGGAAGATGAACACTTGAAGATGAACACTGGAAGATGAACACTGGAAGATGAACACTGGAAGTGTGTGATGGTGAAGGAACCGAGGGGATGGAAGGGAAATACTATGGTCGGTTCAGCACAGGCAATTTCCGAGCCGCCTTGAATATACTGTGATACAGAACCAACGAAATCTTGAGGAACAGTGCATTCGAGGCGCCTCAAAAGTCGTCTCAAAATATCAGGCGCCTCAAAACTAGAAACCTCAAAAACTGATTGTGGTTATGTGATTGAGCGGTGTGAGTAGCAGGTGAAAGACACTCCACTCACCCTCCCCCACTTGGAAGCTCCACCCCAGCACCTCGTGTGCCTGAGCCTGCTCCGCCCCCTTGCCCGTGGCCGCTGTGAATCCCACAAACAGCGGCGGGGGGGATGCTGCTGCCTCCGGGTCGTTCCCCCCCAGCCACTCGCAGGTGTCCAGGAATGTGGTCAGCACGGCCGAGCGCGGGAGAGGGGGGGCGGAGTGGGAGGAGGAGGAAGAGGAGCGAAAGGAGGAGGAGGGGGAGGGAGAGCGAGAGAACCGGGGGAAACCAGAGAAGCAAGGAAAGCGACAGGAGGGGCGAGGGGTGGGGGGGAGAGGGGAGGAGGAGGGGGCGGGGGAGAGCCAGACGGTGAGGTGGGAGGAGGAGGCGTTGTACTGGATGGTGGCGAGGAGGGTCTGGCCGGCGTTGAGGGCGGGAATGGCGAGGGGGTGCACGGGGGCAGAGGCGAGAGAGAGCATGCTGCCGTGCAGGTTCACCCCCACGTGGTGGTCGGGGCGGTCGAAGAACTCGGGGGAGGCCGATGTGTCGAATTCAACCGCCAGGCTCCTGTGCTGTTGTGGCTGTGTAAGGGGGGGAACAGGAAGGGGAGCAGGAGGGTGGGCAGAAAAGAGCAGCAGAGAATGAGAGAATGAGGGCAGGAGAGCAAGACAGGAAGAGTAAGACCAGCAGAGAGTAGTCAGGGAAGACGAAGCGGAAAGACGAAAAGCATCACCACAACAAACGCCATCCCATTGCTGCCAAGACCTGCCACCCTCCATTGGGTGTGGGGATGTGGAACGCAAAGGAACTCGGCCTGAGATGACACGTACCTGAGATGACACGTACCTGAGATGACACATACCTGAGATCAAGGTTCAAAATTACGGTTTTCGTAAAATACGGTCCGTTTTTTACGGTCGTTTTTTACGGTGATTTTTCAAAAAAACGGCCGTTTTTTTGTTAGAGAACTCTGTTCACCAAGAAAAAAAAGAGAAAAACAAGGTCAAAAACATTTTCAATCATGCCAACAAGCGCATACATGCAAGAAGGGGTCCATCCCCTTCATGCTGCTGCATTTCGGGTTCAATGTGGTCCCACTAAGTGGCCGTTTTGTTAGTTATAGAGGAAACACCTCCTGGAACCGTTTTAAACCGTTTTTTACGACCGTTTTTTACGGTACCGTTTTTTACGGTAAAATTTCAATAAAACGGCCGTTTTTTTTAACCCTGCCTGAGATGACCCATACCTGAGATGACACGTACCTGAGATGACACTCTGCACTGCTGACGCTGGAATCACTGCTTGTTCAGGGCTTATGCAGGTATGTGATACCTGCAGTGATGCAGCACTGCTGGCTCAAATGAGAATCATGAGCTGAGCATACCTGTGAGTCATCAGTGCCAGTTGTGCTCCCCGGGGGCAGCAGCAGCCGGCCGTAGCCCAGGGAGGGCCCCGGCAGGCCGAGCGTAGGCGTCGGCAGCATCACAAACGCCAAGCCCTCGCCGCCCAGCCCGGCGGCATTGGGGGAGGAGATGCGGAAGGTAAAGGAGGTGGAGAAGGAGAAGGGGCGGCAGGGGGAGGAGGGCGTGGCGGGGGCGAGCAGGGCGAAGGGGGCGGGGTGCAGCGCGAGGGCGGCAGCGTTGAGGTCGGAGAGCGTGGTGAGGGAGAGGGAGGAGCGGTTGCGACGGGTTGAGCCGGCTGTGAGGAGCGGGTGGGCGCTGGAGAGCGGCCAGTGGGAGAAGGACTTGAGAGGGGAGGGGTCGGCTGCAGGGCAGTGGGATGGGGAGTGAGGGGAGAAGGGGAGGGGAAACGGAATGGGGAGCGATTTTTAGGAACGTCGAATAGGCACGGGCAAAGTAGCGGTACGTTTGGTACCTCGTTCCTTTCTCTTTTTTTTGAATTGTATCTACAATCAGCCGTTTCAAGGTTCGCTTTTGAATAAACAAACCGACCTCGGTTTGGATTGATAGTTTAACTTTCATAAAGTCACAACTCCAAACAGTATCTGTTCTTGACACTGTTAAGGTATGCTAGGGGGGAGCGGGGTGGGGTTTGGAAAGAGAGGGGGGTATGACATGAGATGAGATGTGTCTACTTGGTTGAGAAATGATAAATGAATGGCCGAGCGACACCAATGTTTATATTCATCCGTTACAATACTGTAAGAGCATTTCATGCTGTAGATATGTAGCTGGAAAGACTACTTGTAGAAACTGGTGAATTACACGTAGAAAGGTTGCCATTTTGGGTAGTACTAAGAGAGTGTAGGAACGAAGCTGGAGGTTGAAATGAGCTCCAACTCACTGGACCATTACTGGGGATAACTCTCATCCCGCGGCGGTTCGACATGATTCGACGTGCTTCGGTAATTTTAAACGTTGAACTCGTCGAACCACCTAACCAGTTCGGCACCAATCGGTTAGGTCTGTTTCCACCTGGCGGGAAGAAATCCTCCCCTGGCTCAATTCGGTCTGAACCGAACCGCAAACATTCGTCTCAGTCAGACCGAAGGTGCGGGTGGGAGCTGGAGAGGGGTTGGGGGAAGAAGGGCTTGAA